ACATACGTATGTATCCTTCAACTGCAAGAACATTTCCAATATTTGTTTGTTGGTGAACACTTTTAAAGTCCTTGTTTACAAGCTACTTAAAAACTTTCGAAAATTTTAACAATGTCATTATTTCATTATAAATTTGATTATGCGAAATTTCGCGCTGCCTAGGCAGATAGTGAGGAAAAGAAGTACATACATATAAACAAGCCAAGCCAGGCAAAGCAACGGCACTGCCAGCAATGGCAACAACAAAGCAATGTGACCAAAAAGTTTGTCGTTTGTTTTGGCATTTATTAATTGTTTATAAATGCGTTGCACAGCTGCTAATTTACGCGTGGTGGTGGGCCAGAAGTATATATTTACATATACATACGTAGATATGGGCATGGAAGCTGGAAGTTGCTATAGAATGCGATTGTAAGTATCTGTCACCAAAATCATCGCTGAGGTAGAAAGAAGTGAGCACAAAGAGGCTGGGCTGCTCAAAAGCGGCCAGAAACAACCAGCGTACAATAAAGTTGAAAACAAGTTTGATTTGGCAGCCATACACAGCGCGCAAGACGCAAGGTACTAAGTAGGTAGTGAGTTCTATAGAATAATCTGAAGAGGAAGTCGCTGTTAAAACTGGTTGCCAGAATTTGATTGCCTTTAAGAGTGATATGCTAATGAGCGTAGAGACACAGCCATTTTAAAATTATGAAAATTAAGTGGAAATGGCAATGGTGCGGGGAATGCAGCGAACGACGAATTTAATGGCATTTTTATGAAACGTTAATGGATGATGGGCTGCAAAAAAAAAAAACATTGAATAAAGGCGTTGAATTGACAATGGAGACTTTTACTATTATTGGCGATAATTTTATTTGGTTAATGGCGTTGCTTCTTGTTGTTTGTTAAATCTCTCGGTGTAAAATAAAAAAAAGCAAAAAAAAAAATAAAAATAAAAATAAAAATTGTATGTAAGCAAATTCTAAATTTTTTTTTATTCTTTATAGCATTTTCTCAAATATTTCACACAAAATTTTTTTTAAGATCAAAAAAACCAAAAAATATGAAATTTTACTTTTGAAGCTAATTTTAAATGTGTAATTAAATGATAAATTAATTTGACCTCAAAACCGCCATCTAGTATATCTACATATCGTCGATGTTTTTGCAAAACCGCTCATCGACCAGTTGCAAAACTGCCTAAATCGCCGCTGTGGCAAAAATGAGATTTGGTAACCCTGAACGCCAGGCATCGATATTTATGCATAAAAATCGTAAAATCGATTTTAAAACAGATTTGAAAAATAATAGCTGGAGAAAATACCGCTTAGCAAGGCAATGCCTTCCGAACAAAACCGTTTTATCGCTCTCCTGTAAATTTTGAGTGTCATAAGATAGGCGGTTTTAGCTGCTTAAATGGAAAGCGACTGCAAATTGGTTTGCACGTTAGGAAAAAAATGAAGTAAAAAGTTAAAAAAAAAAATAAATAAAATAAGTCATGGAGTTTGTTAAGGTCACTGAAAGTAAACATAATTACCATTTAGCTGTTAGCAACCTTACAAAAAAAATTAAATCCGTTTTTGTATATCTAAAGCGTTTTAGCAAATTAATTGCATACTAGTTTCAGGTCAAAAAGAGACAAAAATGTAAACACTTTAACTTTTGAAGGTCATATTAAAGGTCAAGGTAATTATTTCATCCAACCACACCACCTTTCCTGAAGTCCATGTCAATAACTTTGAAATACTGTTCTATCTATTTAGCTCATCTCTTTTCGTCCTGGAGTTATTTAATATTGCCCCGTTTTCTAAAATAGAATATAGTTCGGCGCGAAATAAGAAAAACTTTCAATATTTCAGCATTTTTCAATCATTTATTTTCTTAAATGCCTTAATTCTTATGCATGTTTTGTTTTACCTTTACATGTCACGGAATGATAGCAGGGACCACTTCGTTTTAGCGAAGCCGTTTTGTGTAGCTAAAGGGTATATTACTTTATTCCAATCCCAAATTAGTCGTCAACATGTTGCCAACAAAACCTGAAGTCCCTTAAATATTTCAAACTCCACAATGTATGTATGTACATACATACATACATAATTGTGCGCGAAATACAAAAATCTTTGCCAGCTCGCCCGTCAACCCACATAAATTTAAATAACTACTCGTAAACACATATATTCAGCATTTACTGCTGACTAAAATCATTTCACATAATTAGGGATCATTTAATAATGGGGTGACATTAATTGCACGAAGGCAGAGAGCATAGAAAAGCATAACGGTAAAGCCAGAGAGCTAAACGAAAGGGGCGCCAACCAGTAGAAAGGAATGCTGTATCAAACGTTCATAGGACAACCACCGTTGTCACAGTTTTATGAGTGCGGTTTAGCGCCGCTGCTTGAAGGCTAGCAAAATAGCCAACTCATATTCCACACCTACTCAACTCACCAAGGCGGCCCAAGAGCGCTTTCACACTTGCCAACATTGCCAACAAGGTAGTGCCGAGCGACGTTTATGCCCACTTGTAATGATTACCTCCCCCAGGGAGTCGCACGGCTCGTTGGTCGTTTTGTTTGTCGGAAGTGAGGAAAGTACAAGAGATGCCAAAGGTATCTACATACAACGGGGGTTTTATTTATACTCATTTTATTGGCTTATTTAAACGTGAACAAGTCACTGCTGGCTGACAGGCTGGCGTGCGGGTGAATATAAATAGTACCACTGAGTTACCACTACACCACCTGCTGCGCACTCCTGCTCGTCACTTTGGGCTTTAGTGCTCTTGCCACGCTGCGAGGATTTGTACGTCGCCTGTTTGGCTAATTGATTTTCATGTTGTCCATGAAAATGAAAATGGCGCCAGAGGACGCTTCAACAAATTGCTATGCACATACATATATATATAGATACATATTTATTTGAACATTCCGAGGCATACGTAATTTGTTGTAATTTTATTTGCCATGTAGTTTATTGTATATTTTCTATGCGTACAACGTAATTAATTTGCGGACAATTTGCGTTTGTTAATTTGATGGCCATTGGGCGGCTCTAAATGGCCAGCGCGCTTTGTGCAAATGTGCCAGTGTGGAGCCAATCGGGAGGCATACTTTTGGGCTCATTATATGTATGTATGTATGTATGTGTGTATGAACAGTTACTGTAGTTGTTTTCGGTGCGGCATTGTGGCGGCTAGAGGAGTTGGCTCCATTTGCATTGATTCGATTTGCTAGATGTAATTTTTTACTTTGAATGTCTAATTAGTGTGTAATTATTATTTTTGGTTAGAGTAAGCGAATTTTGTGTAATTTATTTGCGGTGATTTTCAATCGATTTGGCAAGCAAATGGTCGCTTTCGAATTTATTAACGAGAAATACGAATATTTGTGGTTTTTATATTTTTATGTATTATTTTGTAAAAAAAAACGAAAAAATTTATAATAAGCGATGAAGATTCGTTAAAAATATAAATTCGATTTTTATGTATATAGAAAATTAATAAAATAATACTTGTAATTATTCATATTTACAGTTATTCACACCACTGGGCATATGGTGATTTTCTCGAAAAAGTTCTGAAAATATTTTAATATTCTGTGTGTAAACTCAACATATGTATGTACATAGTTAAACTTAGCCAAAAAGATAGGAGATTTTCAAACACAAAAAAAAACGTCACTTAAACAAATTAAATTAAACTAACAAAATAAAATTAGTTTCAAACAAATGCATGAAATAAAAAAAAAATAAAAGAAAATTAATTTAAAAAGGAAAATTTATATTAAAAATAGGGAAAATATATAAAATAAATTTACAAAATTTTAATTGAATTAAAAAAAAAATATTGTTTGCTTTTTAAATTAAATTAAATGAAAAAATAAAATAAGTTTCTGAAAAATCCATTTAAGAACAATAGATAAAATCTGAAATTTAGATTAAAAAAGAAAAATATACATAATATATGTTTCCAAAAATTAAATGAAAGTAAAAAGAGACACATACATATGTACGTTGTTTTAACAATAAAGTCTAAAAATTAAAGAAAATAAAAGAGATGTAAATTTCAATTTAAAAAATAAAAAGAAAATTTGCGTTACCTGAGAACTCGAACCTGGGACCTCTTGAATTGCACGTCAGTACTTTACCCACTCGGCCATCGCGATTGTTGGAGAAACGTGAGCAAAATGATACACATCTCCATTTGGAACAGGCTAAAATGCGTTCTGTCACAAGACCTTTTCAACGTGAAAGTTGGCAAGGGAGCTTTATTTTGAAAGACTTTCGTGCCAGAATAAACAAAATATTTCAAACTATCTTGCATACTATCTTTCAGTTGTCTTTAAAAATATTTGTAACTATCTTAGCCAGAATCGCCTTGTAGGACTGTAAGTACAAAATGTTATTGTTTTTGTTGTTGTTGTGGCAGCTCGATAGCCTAGAATCGACGAACATAAGAAAATCAGCACCACCATCAGACACAATGGTTATTTCATGTAGGTACAGATTTTGTCTCTAATCTCAAAGTGAAAACTTCCTCTGAAGGAAGTCTCCTTAAGGGCGCTTCAATTTCTAGCAAGCGTCTGTCAGGCTGTAAGTTATTAGGGCGCAAGTATCCTAAAATAATATTGAGTGATATGACAAGAAATTTCTTGAGTGTCCGAAGCTCGACGTTTTGGCTTCATTCAATACGTTTCTTTATCCCTGTAGTCAGGGTATAAATACGGATACTACAATGGATGTAGATACATAAATACTAATCAGGAATTACGAAAATGTTATTAACTCTTTGTTAAATATTCTAAAGTATACTTCTGTAAGAGTTAAAACGGGAGACGATCCTTTTTAGGAAAGAAAATGATGAAGTGGAATATCAGAGAGGCGTAGTAAATTTTATCGAAAATCATTGTGGATATACTACGATCGTAATAAAGTTCTAACCCTAAATATTAAATATATTACATAAATATTAAACTATCTTTAAACGATCCTTCTCTCTTCCTTCCACTTTTTTTCAGTGTCTGCGAGTCTCTCACAGGCACATCAACACCATCAAGGCAACGATAAGGATGGCAAGAAGAAGCACACCCGCCCAACTTTTAGTGGCCAGCAAATATTTGCGCTGGAAAAGACATTCGAACAAACGAAATATCTGGCGGGGCCAGAACGGGCGAAACTCGCCTATGCCTTAGGAATGACCGAATCGCAAGTGAAGGTAAGCTAAATAAATAACTAATAGACTAGCAAACATATAAACAACAATTCAGATAAAATTGGAAGGTTGGAAAAAAGGGAAAAGAAAGTAAGAGGCAAAATAGGCAATGGGCAAGAATAGTAATGGTAGCAATACAGACACCCAAAATTCTTTACACAAAACTAGGATTTCCTCATTCAAAGGAGATAGGACACTGCAAAACAAAATAAAAAATATAAAAAAATGCTAAATCCAAAAGCATTAAAGGTGAGGTAGCATTATAAAAACTGATATAAAGGACAAAAAAGAAATGCAAGCGAACAGCAAATGCGTAGGAAGGTGTTGAAAAATTTGCATTTTTATTGAAAGGCAAATCCGAGTGGATTTCGTTAAAAATAAAGCGAATGAAGTATGGCTTGCAAAACTTTTTTTTTATTTTGGGTTCGTCGAGGGAATAAGCCCGCGAACACAAAGCACAGTTAACTCGCCCCAGACCTAAACACATATATACATACATACATAGAAGTTGTGTAAAAATGGCGGCCGCACAATATAGACATCCACAAGCATACATACATCCATATGTATGTACGTAAGTACAGTGACTCGCGTGTTGGTTTTCTTTTAATATTCATAATGTTTTTCGAGTTAATTCTTTTTGGTTATTTTTCTATCAAAATACCATGCAAGCTTTAGCCGAAACCATATAAATCACGGTTTCAAACTTCAAACAACATTTAGGAAAATTCAATAAATTTTCATCAAAATTTCAATATTTTAATCTGATTTTTTTTTGAAAATCTTTGGGTATGCAGTTTTATAGCCCATACAATTTTAGTCTAATGAAATGCAAGTTTCAACGGGCGTTGATATTGGAGAAATTTTTTTGGAGAGTGCTTTTGCGGTTTTATTTTATTTAACAAGTACAATTTACAAAAAATGTGTGGGCTATAAAACTGCATACCCAAAAATTTTCTAAAGATTCCGATTAAAAAATTTAAATTTTGATGAATTTTGCCAAATTTTTTATAAATTTGGAAACTGTGATTTATATGGTTTTGGTTAAAGCTTGGATGGTATTTTTATAAAACAATGTAGCTCAAGAAACATTACGAATATTAAAAAAAAAATCAGCACGGGGTCATTTGTTTGAGTCACTGTATATGCATGCCTCCCACCTCTTTGGGGTAAAGTGCCCACACTCCAGTCTACATCGATTTCGAGCGCTTCATTTGCCAACCTTTTATGTACATTTTATTACTTACTTCATTTTACGTTTTCCTTCGATTGTTGTTGCTGGTGGTTACATTGCTTGTTTTGGGTTTGCTGACGCCTGGGATTATGCGGGTTGCTGCTGCTGCTGCTGCTACTGCCACTTTTAAAGCGCACTTCATGCTCTTAATGCCCCATAATACACGTCGCATGTCTAACTTTTACAAATTCCCTGTATTATTTTTGTTGTTGTGTGTTTGTTGTTTTCCAAATCGCGCACTGAAAACTCAAAATCTAAAAATCCACGCAGACATTGCCGCCAACGTTTGGCACTTACTGTAGGTAGAAATCCACAGCATCAACTGATGAATGTGAAGTTTAAAATGCAGCAATGCATTTTATTTCGACTTTTTTCTATGTACATTTGTTGCCGCATTTTATACCGCTAAACACAAATCCTTTTGTCGTCAAATTTGTTTGTTAGCATTGTGTGAGCGTTGGTCGGTTTAAAAATGTCGCTGATTGGTGAGCGTTGCCGGAGATAGGAAGAGATCGTATGTTGCCGCACACGTGCCGCGGGCTTGTGTTGACAACGCGGCTGGCGTTTCCTGGATTTGTAAGGGTCTTTTTAATGTTTTAAATTTGTTAGTACCTTAGAATTAAACGCTATTTAAATTAGTTCTAAATCGGGCATTTAGACCACCTCGCTTTCACTGCAAGTAAGTAGATTATAAGCATGAATGAATATATCTATGTTCCAAATATAAAAATAAAAAATAGGGGTATATATTTCTCGATATAGAACAATCCTAGGGGGTGAGCGCATTAAAATTCCGGCTTTACTTATTTTTGACCACCCTAATGTACATACAACGGCAACGTGTTTCCAATGATTACGATTTCTAAAAAACCTCAAAACGAAGCGTCAAATAATTGCAGTATCCCGTAAGCGTCCACTTCATGGACAAATCAGTTGCAAATTGCAGCAAGCGTAGGCGTTGTAAACATGTCAATAGTACTCAAGTTTTGAGAGCTTCAGCACCTACGACAATTTATAAAATAGAGGTTTACGCTGACAGGCTTGGCGGCGACGGCGTGGTCAACTTCAAAATGAATCGGCGGCGACGATGGCGCGTCTGCCCCTAAGGTAAATTTCATCATGTAATTTCGTCAGCGTTAGGCGTTCGCCATGCCAATTCAGATTATTATTGTATTTAGTTCATTCCTGAATTAGTTTTAAATTTAAATATTGTTACTTCCTACTTTAATAAAAATGTTGAGTACCTGTCGCTGCTGGATGGGCGAACAGAAGAAGGTCTGAGGTATATAAATCCCGAAGGATGTCGTTCCTAACCTGCGACCTGAACTTAAATACTTCTGCTTAATTTGAGCAATTATCTTCGATATAGAGTTCCTTGTTCCGTTTGCGGGAGTTGGCACTGTTGGGGGAAGTCAATATACATATATCTGCCGCTTTTCAAGAATTTTCGCTGGATGTAGTTTCCATGAGGCGGGTCCCAATGCCAGCACACAATCCATGGCAGTTATGAGTACTTTTATGAATCTGTCATAAACTTTCGAAGACTAATATCGATTTCATAATACAGTAACAACAATTGAGTCTGGTCGCTGCACAACCGTCATTTTGAGTATTCAAAATGTGCTCGAGAATTCATATCATCAACACAACTCCCGACAGTCATTAATAATAACAGCAAAAACAAGGCGAAATCTCAGCGTACTACCATCAGCAACAATAAAATCACCGTCGATATAGCTATCATTATTTTCACTGCGTATTTACTGTTTTTTTTTTTGTATGCAGCAAGACAACTGCTGCCAAATGAGCATTCAACCGTTTATATGTATGTATGTATGTCTTTGTAAGCATGAGCTTACAAATGGTTTTAATTATGCGAACATGCAATTATTCTTGTCAAGATCATTTCCCATATTATGAAGGGTCATCACACGACCGCCGCTTGCATTGGTAGTAGTGGGCAATAAGCTGCCACCCGCTCCAAATGGCAAAAGGTGGAGTGGGTGTTTGGCCGCGGCTGTGTGCTCTTTTTCACCGATTCTCTCATGTATCCCATTTATGTATCGTGTTTTTGCCATGCGTATGTGCATGTTTGAGTCTATGCACACTTGGCGCTGCCTTATTAGCTAATTTGCATTTCCGAGCTGTCTATATCCGGGTAATAGCCAGGATGCTGCTGCATGCATGCGTACAAACTATTTGCTGTTGTTTTTGCAACAATTTGCATACTATCGCTTACAAAATGGCACAGGGACACTGGCAAACAAAGCAGTTTAGTGACATGTGCATATAGAGCAAACAGTGAGGCAGTTAGAGAGACAAATGATAGCCATGACCATCATTCGGCTAAGCAACATTCTCGGCTATTTTTTTTGTGCTTTTTCGTCTATTCGAGACCTCTGTTACTCACTCACTCACTCACACACTTGCTTGCTAATTGAATATGTATGAAGCAACGCATTTACAAAAGGCAACAAGAATTGCGTAAACAGTACGCACTGCACAGTTAGAGCGATTGCTTTTGCCAGACTTTTAATTTACATCAGCCATCGTCCTTTTTGCCATCATTATGCCGGAAGTACGCACATCTAAACCTAAATACATATGCACATATGTACATTTGTGCCACTTGCTCACTACATCGAGGTTCATTTGTAGTTCCAGTTGTCGCACTCAACCCATCTTTGTCATTTGCTCGTCAGTCTGTAATCCTTGAAATCCGTACATCCATTCAGTCAGCCAGGCAGTCAGCCCTTCATTCATATCCATCAGTGTCTGCCTGCTTGCATTTCGTCTGTCTGCCTATGTGCAACTGTCGCTCCAATTGAATTCCTCATAAAATCATAAACATTCATCCTCCTCATTCTTCGGCAATTAATCATTTCTTCATCATAATCGCATAGTGTCTGTATGTTTGCATGTATTTATATCTATGTATACACTGAAGCCTCGATAAAACGAAAATTTGAATATAGCAACTTTTTTATTGAGTATAGAATAGAATAGCTGAAAACTTTCCGAATATGTACATATCTGTGTTCATATGGAAAAGTAGCTTATGTCGAAAGGCTGGCTTTAGTATAATGCGGCATTCCCTTTATTCTTTAAACGACAAGGAATTTTTTGATGAGACTTAATAAGAATATTGACTTGCTAGTATCGGAACTACTTCTTGCACGTTTATTTGCCAAAAGTTCTTCAACGGCTCAGCGCCAGTGAGTCATTCGCAATCGTATGCTGCGAATGCCGATTTATACTAAAGCCAGCCTTTCGACATAAGCTACTTTTCCATACGAACACAGATATGTATGTTAAGGAAAGCCTCTATATAACGAAGGATCGACACAAAAGCCTCTACATAGCGTATTCTGAATATGTTGACGGTAAGAGTCCCGTTATAACAAAAAGAAACTATACCTAAATTTGCTCATACAACGAAGCATTTATCCAACCCCTTCAACTTCGCTATATCGAGGTTTCACTGTATATGTATATAAAATCTATATTATAGATATATATGTATGCCTGTGTTTTTGTTGCTTGCTTTTGTCGCGTTTTTTGCGTATGTCCTTGGAGGGTAAGTGCGAACTGAGAACGAAATAATAATCGCAGATCTGTTATTACCGATTTTTCGGAAATAAGTTTTTGATGTAAAAAATTTCATAAAAGATGTATATTTATTTATCTATGCATGAGAAATAAATTTCACGCTGACACTTAAAAATTAAGTTGAAACTCAAATACTATTTCAAAATCAATATAGAAAGAT